TATCCTTTAAACGAGCAATTCTTGCATATATATATATTATTTAGACTATATATGTTATATATTATATTATATATATATATTATTTTGACACTTATTTTTTTTACTTTTTTGTCGATCCCGATGATTTAGGTATCTTTTTCCCTTTTTTTTAAAGTTCTTTCTTTTGTAAAAAAAACCAGTTCATATTTATTGTTCTTATTATTACGTCGATAACATGGAAATTATCTATATGTAATATCCAAAATACATGATTTACCAAAAAAAAGGTACTTTTTCTTAAATGAACAATCATTCGCGTAAACTTATTTTTACAAAGTAATACCGTTTCTTTTGGCTGTTATTAATTGGTTTGGGCGAATTTTAAAAGATATAAGATTGAGAGAAACTGAGAGACTTGTACTTATACTATCTATACTATCTTATCACTTAGGACCTAAGTTATCCATGTAAATAAAGAAAAATTTGACTAAATAACTATGATGCACTTACTTTTTAATTATAGTGGCTTAGTGTAACTTTGCCAATCCTAGGTGAGGCTCGCATGACGTACATTATCTGCCGTATTTTCAGGCTATTACTTTCTTAATTTTGATAATTTTTATCAATGTTTGTCATTTAAATTTTATAATAAAATTTAGGAATGTCTCTAAGTCTTAGATTGTACTATAATTATAAACGAATAATAAAGATCCATCGATCACCGCCGCCTACGAAAACTTCTAGAAATAAATACACACCACATAAATTCCGTACCCTACTTACCACGTTTTTTTTTTTAATTTACATTAACCCAGTATTTTTGAAACGCCATCAATATCAATTAACTTATCTATCGGCACCCCCTATGCATATAAAAGCTGTTTGGTGCGCCATCCGTTGTTCCGTGGAGTGAGTAATGCTTGGAGTAAGCCTCTCTAAGCGGCGGGGGAACGTCGCAAGGAGATCTACTCAATATGTAAATCGGCGCGTTATCGTATCGTGTTGCACATACTTAATTAGCTAGATTGCTGGCTCGGCTGAGTGAACTTTAGTGCTGCCCCTTTTAACTGGCATTTAGTTCACGATTATATCGACAATACACTTCGTCGGTAATTTGAAACCGGCATTTCTAAGGAGATACACGCCGATTGCAAAGCTACCCATTAGCTTTCGTATGCATTGAATGCCAATTTACCTTACGATAATTAGATTATTACGTCTTTCTATATAAAAATATACCAAGCTAAAACAAGATAGTCAATAGACCAATAAAAATAGCAATTTCGTAGTATTAGCATATTAAGTGTAAAACATACTATTAAAACATGACTTATATAACGAAAAAGGTGCTTCATAAAAGTGTCTTTGCTCCTTCAAAACATTCTAAAGTGACACGTCTCTTCTACCTGCCTTTGCACAGTCGCGAGAGAAATTTAATACGATGGAATTCCAAAAACATCGATACGCGTAGCAGCACCTTACCAAGCTATCCCTCCGACTGTGGCCCTGTCGCGAGCTGTCGCCGAACATTTTTTTGTCATCCACTTCCTCGGTGGAAAGGATGCGCCGCGTTCTAATCGTCCTTTATTTGCTCCCTACCCTTTTGTTTCTTTTTACGCGCACGCCACAGATCACTAAAACCTAGAGCTTTCTTGAAATTTGTCAATATTTTTGAAGTTTCTTAGAGCACACTTGCAAGTCCCGGCTGCTAATGATTTTATACTTAAATAATGTTGTACTTATACTTGATTCATTAAAAAAAACAGAGATAACAAGACCGCAGAGTTTCTTGACGGTTCTTCTCTGGTCAGATCTAGTTTAGTGAACCGGTGGTAGCTTTTTGACGTTCAATAGGAGCGCAAATTCAGCCTATATTGAATAAAGAAAATTTTGACTTTGAGAACGGAAATCTCTTTTAGACACCCACTAATTCTTCTTCTCTGTAGCAATTTTAGCAAAATAATTTAAGTTGTTCTGTTTCTGTTTACCTGTACTTTGTTATACAATTTATTGTTAATTTTTATTAATCAATTCGAATTTTGAAGTCTCGTTTTTTGTTTATGTAAAAATGACATGTATAAAAAATGTGCGGGAGGATGGATGTAGGTGGCTCAGGATCCTATTTCTTGGCAATCTGTGGAGGAGACATTGGTTCACCAGTGGACTCTAAGGGGGTTGAAATGATTATGGTAATGATGAAAAATGATACTATTTTATTCTAATTAACTATTATCGTATTTGGGAAAACTTTAATGTATTTAATGTCTTAACTCCTAGATGTCTCAACATTTCATTAATTAAAGTAATGTATAGTATATTATTATTCAAATTTTTCATATCCTTGGCTTTTCCGATCGACAGTACACATATTATGAGATGCAAGGGATATACCGTTTTTATGATGACATAAGACAGATTTGCCGTTGTCATTTACATGCATGAATAAAGCTAAGTAACCGCCTATATAGGTTCACTGCTGAGCAGTCACGCGACCCTACCGCGGATGGGTATTATATATCATTCACATATTATTACATCGAAAATGTGCAGGTTTCCTCACGATTTTTGCCTTCACCGTTGAGAATATGATGAGTTATCACAATTGACAATTTCATGGTGCCGGATGCCTCAGGATTCCAAATCCTCGGCTCGAGTATATTGAATTAAAACCCAGCGCTCACACTGAGCTGCGAATATATTAAGATTTTTCAAAAATAATTAATAATCCATCATTTTTATTAACTGCATCAATTTTTGGTGCATCTCCTATTTAAACTTTCAGGAAATGAAAGAATCTAAATCATGGCCTCGAACAGATTCCACTCTACACTGGCTACACTCCAAAATCGCTACTAAAAAGCGAATATTTCTTATCACTTAAACTCTACTTAGAACGGCATTAAATTGATAAGTGGATGAATAAATTTTGTACCCATTCAATTTCTATGAGGACAAATCTCTGCATTATCTACCCAAGTAATAAAGGTGGGCTGTTTCGACGAGTGTATGGCATAAAAGTCCTTCTACGATTTATGATATCGCCACAAGGTTTCCCGATACTAGTCTATAAAAATTTATATATCGTTTAAGTGGTCAAAGCCAACAGAAAACATCGAGGTATTTTTTACATGAGGTTTCTTCGTAACATTAAAAAACATCTTACCCAACAGATGTTCCTAGTGCCGTAAAGCTTTTCCAGACTTGATTTTGTGTTAAAGTCATTACTGTTTTATGACCGACAATCAGTATAATATATACCAGTTTTTGAGTTATCTATACAAATCTGCCGAACAATTCCATTTGGAATTATGGTAAAAAAGCAGTCACTGTTTAATTTTTAAAATTTTACGGTCTTAAGAGTAGCGGTTTGTTTCCTTTTTTATTTGTTTTATTGATAGCTTAAGAAAACTTTTTTAATTAGCACGCAGCTTTTCCGTATTAATTTAATAATACTTATTTTACTACAACTTAAGGGAAATAGGGTTATTAAATTTAAAACGCTGCGATAGCCTCTCGTTTTAATGGATTTCTGTACTTAAATGCCGAAGTCACTTTTGTTTCACTTAAATGTGTCTGCTTTAATGAAATCTTGTTTTTATTACTGTCATACCGGCAACGTTGATGATGCCTTTTAAATGGTATAAAAGACTTTTAGACGCACATTAGAAGCCGGAACAGGACAAGAATTTTTTTATCATTTATTTTTCATTTCATTTAAAATACGTAACAACTATATGTACGGTAATATAAAAAGAAAATGAAATCTCCATAAATTTTTTATTTTATTTTATTTCAAACCAAATCCACAGCTCTCGGACTAACGGACATGTTGAAGACAAAGTAGTTTAGACTAAAAATACATATTTTTAAATATCTAGAAAACAATTACAAGAAAATAAAAGATTTTCAACATACATAATGCTCGTATGCGTCTCCATCGCACGCGGGCATGTGTGTGTGTGTGTGTGTGTGTGTGTGTGTGTGTGTGTGTGTGTGTGTGTGTGTGTGTGTGTGTGTGTGTGTGTGTGTGTGTGTGTGTGTGTGCGCGCGCGCGCGCGCGCTCGTGTGTGTGTGTGCTTTATAAAGTTATTGCTTTGCGTGTGTAACTGGGCGGTAACCCTTCGAATGTACATTGTATACAAAAGTAGCTTAAGTGGAATTACCACTTCAATGTTACTGCCTTGTTATCATTTTATAACTTCCTTTTTCCTTAGTGCTTTATTGCCAGAGGCAGCTGTCTTGTTGGGAACGTCCACGACCGTGTTTAACTCTCGCCAAAGTTGATGGTTATGCTGTCGAGCGTCTTCTTCCGCGATCTTATTCACGACTAATATGACAAAATGATTACTTCTATAAAGCGTCGTTATATGTTAGACATAATATAATAAAAACAGGAAATTATTTATTTTGGACAACAAGAAACAGACAGACATACAAATAAAATAAACATATTCCTATGTTTTTATGAACATTTTAAATTATTATTAAATGGGAACAATATTGATCTATATTTAAGTTCAAATTATCAGACGATAACTTCTAGGTAGATTATTGAAGCAAACTTGCAACTCTACATGAGGTTTGTTCGTCATTAGATTAAAAAATCAAGATACTACATGTAATAATGATTAAAAATGAATTTTTATCATTTTAATTAGGATAAATTAACTATACAATGAGCGGTCATAAATTGTTTATTTTTGTATGTATTAATACAAATATAAAATTCTACTATAAAATTGTACTTACTGTTTAATTTATGATATAATATTAACAATATAGTCAATTTTACATTAATACATTTTGATGTAACATAGGAGCAGGCGGTTCACCTAATGTTAAGTGATAACCGTAGCTTGAAGACATCTACAACACCCGTGGGGCTAGCAGAAACGTTGCTTTCCTTTAAATAGACGGTTCCAGTGATCGCATTCACAAGACGAAACCAGTGCATTGCACGCATTTAAAGGCATTGATTTACGAACATCAACGAAAAAACATAACTATATTAATCCTTGCAGGACACCCAAGCCGCGGCCGCCGCGCTAACCTCGCTGGGGCACGTATACACTGCAATAGGGGACTACCCCAACGCCTTAGCCAGCCACAAGCAATGCGTGCAGCTAGTCAAACAGATGGGCGACCGTCTCCAAGAAGCGCGGGAAATCGGCAACGTGGGCGCAGTGTACCTGGCGATGGGAGAATTCGATTCGGCGGTCGACTGTCACACGCAGCACCTGCGGCTGGCGAGGAGGCTCGGCGATCAGGTAATGTCCCCCCTAACACTAAACCCGCCAAAAATAAAGAACCATTCGCTGTCCGACTGTTTCTACAACACTTTTAGCGTGTAGACCACGCATTAATACACATTATATTTGAGAATGCCACGTGATTTGACAATGTTATTTTGTAAACGCAGCAAAGCTTATTGCCTTCGTGTTTGACAACTTATGTTTCTACAATGTTCCGTGTATAGTGTATAATATTTTTATGAGTCCATATATTCAGAGAATCGATACTTTTAGTACTTTTTTACGGTGGTAGGGCCACGCAGCAGCCTCGGCTGTTGCATGAATGGGCAGGCTCGTCCGGGTAAGTACCACGACCTCACAGAAGACCGGCGTAAAGTGGAAGTATAATACTTACGCGTTTCGTCTGGTGAGTGAGGTGGCCGGAGCCCAATTTTCAAAAGGTTGTCAACGCATTATATATATATATATATATATATATATATATATATATATATATATATATATATATATATATATATATATATATATATATATAATATATATATATATATATATATATATATATATATATATATATATATATATATATATATATATATATATATATATATATATCTATATATATATATATATATATATATATATATATATATATATATATATATATATATATATATATATATATATATATATATATATATATATATATATATATATATGTATGAAATAGTACAATTATATACACATCAAATATAACATAAACACATACATATATAAATATACATACATATATATATATATATATATAAGTAAGCGGTAGTGGCAATGATAACATCCACATTCTAGTTTATACTGAGTCATTCAAGTAAAAGTCACGGACCAAGCGTTTGAATGATATCCTGTCAGGAGCCCTACGAATGTCTTTAGGCACGGAGTTCCAGAGCAGTGCAGCCTGAAGAGTGAAGGAATTACTGGCGAAACTGGTATTGTGAGAAGGGATAGCAATCTTAAGATTGGTTGAGGGACGGAGATCTCTTTCACTGTTCAGAGGGACGGAGATCTCTTTCGCCATTAGCCACAGTTACACAAATAATATATCCCTAATGATACGGTAACTTAATAGTAGTACTGTTCATATCTAAAAAAATTGTCAACCGATTAAATAAAAACCTTGTTTGTCGTATTCCACGGCAGTTCCTAATACAACGCACTCAAGTCGAGATTGCAGCCTTTCAGTTGTCAGCGGCCCTTGTCTAATCTCCTAAAGCACGGGGTTTAATTGTAACTCCAAATCGATTCCGCTGATCTCTACACATTACGCAAATCGAAACCAATTAAAGGAACGCGAAATTGTCCATTTCTCGGTACGAGCTTCGCCGTCGTAATGATTTATCTATCGTCGCTTACCTAAGCCACAGCAAATAATTTGACCATTACAGCGAGAAAACCTTTTGCCTTAATTTTTGTTATTTCGGATTAATAATTACGAAATATTCATAAGATAAAATTTGATTATTTATTATTTTCTTTATTTTACACTACATTTTTATCTTGAATTTTTCGACAATTTATATACGCACTAGATTTCGTCTTAAGTGCAGCGATTAGGACTAAAATATAAAGTTATGCTTTTTCAATACAGTATTATACGCTTTTAATTAAATTGGTAAATCAAGTGATAACTAACATGTGATACTATGTGTTAATTTTCAGCCGACTTAAAAAACGGAGGAAGTTCTCAATTCGTCCCTCAGAACTTTCGGCTGAATGCACCGATTGTGATGATTCATTTTATTTGAAAGCTGGTGCTTCTCATGTGATCCCATTTATTTCATTGGTATTGGATCTTGGGCTCCGGAGATACGTAGGAAATTCCTGAAAATCAATTATAAAATGAATACAGAGCGAAATATAAAGTCGGTTTTGTTTTTCGTTAATAAAAAAAAGATTTGTTATCACTAGGTGGAGGAAGCGAGGGCGTACTCAAATCTCGGCTCGTCGTATCACTACCGACGCAACTTCTCCCAAGCGATCGCGTATCACGAGAACGTCCTGCGGATCGCACAGAACCTAGGCGACAGAGCCATCGAGGCGCGAGCCTATGCTGGCTTAGGGCATGCGGCAAGGTAAACACTATCTACGCAATAAATCTGAAGAGTTAGAACTTTTTATACGTGTTATGTAAAAGACCGTGGTATCTCAGTAGCCGGGCGCTCGCTCTTTGGCTAGAACAACCAGTCCAATTGCCGTCACAGTTGAAATTGCTTCTTCCAATTATAAGTTTGGATTTAGCATCAATAATAAATGTTGCTTCATCACTCGATCGGCGGCAGAGCATCAATTCCAAAAAGACTAAGAAACTGCTTGAAGTCGTGAATTTACAGAGGTCTTTACTTAGCATTTGGATAGCACCTAATAGACTCAAATATTCCAGTAATAACGTCCATAATTAAGGAGGTCGACTTTTCCTATAACCTATCTAAAATTGTATCTACTTTATTAGCAACAATGAAACTTACAATGCCTATTCACTGTGATAAGGCCACGGAGCAGCTGCTTCTGTACACTATTATACTTTTTATATGAGTTTGCAACGCATCTGCAACCCGAACCACCTGCTCGCTGCCCAATTTTTCACATAAAAATAGGGTAACACTGGCTGTTGATTCCAGATGCGCTGGCGACTACGCGCAGGCTAAGAAATGGCACGAAAGACAACTAGACGTCGCTTTGGCGGCCAGAGACAAGGTATTTTGTTCTTTCGAAAACCACTTCTTATCATAATACGGCGCATAAATGCTAACGTGTGGAAATTCATCCATTTAAGTAGTCATTATAAATGTCATTCAATTTCAGCCACCAAAATCGAATTGGTAATTTTTTTATCACTACTTTATCTATTCAAACTTTAAAATATTCTTTCACGCGAGTAATGCTCACGCTAATTAATTTTGTTTTACATATGAATTAGAAATTCAAATAATGTTACGAGGATATTGACTCAAAGACGGAACTCATACATCAAACTCAGCTTAATGACTATTTAAAAACTTCTACGTAGTGTTTAAAAACATTTTGTAAAAGTAGACGATTTCATAACATCACGAAGAATCGGTATTTATTGCATGACAAAATGTTTAATTGACGTTTTACCAATCTAATGAATATGGAGTCTTACTTCCGTTAGTTATGAGCTTTACTGGTCATTTCGCAGGTGGGCGAAGGGAGGGCTTGTTCAAACTTAGGCATCGTTTATCAACTTCTTGGCGAGCACGACGCTGCGCTGAAACTGCATCAGGCACATTTATCAATCGCCCGACAGCTGCAGGTAGGCATCATTAATTTGTCTGTGTGACATACTTGTATAAGTCGCGAGCTATTCCCCTGAGGTACCTCGGAGCATACCCATTAATTTCTGTGTGTAATGAGCTCCCTTGAAGCGTGTAGACAAGCAGTACCGTAACATACTGTTTACCCCAGTGTAAACCCATATCTAATGAACCCGTATTACTGTGTATGATCGACACCGTACCGTCAACAGTTTTAGTCATAAGATAGCCTAGAGACCCGTAAAGATGTTCGGTCACTCTTCTCTGAATCCTCTAACGCATGTTCTGTTTAAAATTAATAGCAAATTATTCGATATGCATTTTAATTTGCTTTACAAAACACTAATTTAGGAGCACCGTTTCATTTCTTGACCCCAAAAGTACCGCGTAACCTTTTAGACAAAATAAAAATTTTTACGAACATGGAGCTATAACGAGTAACCGTGACATTTCAATACATTTTGAAGTACCGTAAGTTTCGTATTGTCTCTATATGTAATTGTTTTAAAAGATGTAAAAATGAGAAAATAAATGTCTTGAACCGTAATTTGAAGTGATCACTGAAGCAATAATGTCATGTGTATTAAAATTAATTAGGTTTGTGTTCTGTCTTTATGTTCTTTTACTTAATGCAAACATAACGCACGGATAACTGTGACTTCCTTTATTTTCATTTCTCTACTTTTAATACTGTAATATTTTCTTAGGACAAAGCAGGGATGGGCCGGGCTTACGGGAACATTGGCAATGCGTATTCGGCGGCCGGGTTCTACGAGCAGGCGATCAAGTACCACAAGCAGGAGCTGACCATATCGAAGGAAGTCCATGACAGAAGCTCTGAGGCCTCCACGCACGGGAACCTGGCCGTCGCATACCAGGCCCTGGGCGCCCATGATATGGCACTCTTCCACTATCGGGCACATCTAGGTCTGTACCTTTTAATCATACAATTAACATAACATTTATGATGTCAAATAAAACCTTTGAAGCATAAGCGTACAAATATAATCAAACCTGGAATAATGCCGAATTGATTGGAATGAAATTTAGTTTTTATGTAACTAAACAGCAAATATTTAAATATATAGTTCTTTTGTACGTGTGTACTGAACTCCTAAACGGCTGGACCGATTTTAATGAATTTTTTGTGTCGATCCGAGAATGGTTTAGATTAACAATCTGGTCCACTATATTTTTATTTTTTTTATTTATAAGTTGTTGTCGGACTTAAATCGTGTGTACAGGAAAACGTCAGGTTGGGTCCGCTAGTATAATATAAAAATTAAACACTATAAAACACTTGAAACTTGTTAGAGGTTTTTACGGAATCCAAAGTACATTTTGTAAATATTTTTTTTACAAATTGAATGAATTGCAGGCATTGCACGTGAATTGAAAGACGCCGCTGGCGAGGCGTGCGCTCTCCTGAATCTCGGCAACTGCTTATCCTCCCGGGGGGAGTTTGCGCAAGCGGTGCCCTATTATGAGCAGCATCTCATGCTGTCGCAAGAGCTCGGTGACGTCACTGCTGAGGCGAAAGCCTGCCACTTCCTGGGATACGCGCATTACTGCTTGGGGAATTACAGGGAGGCTGTCAGGTAAGCGTCGAGACGATGCCAGAATGATATTCAATGAAGATATTTCCTAGTGATTTCCATTTCATGATCGAATGTTTCACTTAATTTAATTAACTTTCTAAATTCAAATATTAATAAAATATTATTTCTTTCTTTTCTATTGATATAATTACGATTATATGGCAGCCACTTTTATAAATATGCTACTTGACTCACCTACCATCCACCACCATCTTTTTTTTAATGTGAGTGTAGTTTTTAATGTGAGTTTACCTGATGATAAGTGATAACCGCTGCTCATTGACATTTGCATCATCTTTAGGGTTACTGATGCGTTGCTTCCTTATTATAGGGGTGTGAGAGAGCAAAATGTGAAGTAGTAAAAAATATTACTAATTACACGTACATAATATACGGACGTAATATAAATATACGAGTATATATTAAATTACTAAGGCAACTTTACAAATTCCAGCACTATGTTTTTGATCATAAAACTAACCTGGTATCGTGACTCTGCATCCCAAAAACTGCTTGTAAACGTTTTTCTAAACGTTCTAAATCTACAAATGGCTTTTCCCAAAAACTCATCAGCGTGCTCTTGTCACCAGACGAAGGCAGAAGTATAACAATTCCACTTCACGCCGGTCTTCTATGACGTCGTAGTACATACCCATAAATTTTACAAAAAAAAACTTTCATGGTTGAAGTACTACAAGGTTTTAGAACTGTTCCCGTAAACTGGGCACAGTATTGAAACAGATTTATCACTCGGCTTTCGGAAATTATTCACAGAGCTAAAATTTTTATATTCTAGATACTACGACCAGGACCTGTCGTTGGCAAAGGACCTGCAAGACAAGATGAACATGGGAAGAGCGTACTGCAACTTGGGGCTAGCGCACCTGGCGCTTGGAAACTTGGAGACGGCGCTGGAATGCCAGAAGTACTTTTTGGCGATAGCGCACATGACCCAGCATCTCCAGGGCAAGTTCAGGGCGCTGGGCAACATTGGGGACGTGTTAATCAAGATGGGCGATGTAGAAGAAGCGGTTAAGATGTATCAACGACAACTAAGGTTCGCTAGGGAGGTGAGAATACTGAATTGAATTACAAATCAAGTTACAAATCGCCACTAGGAATTACATCGCTCTCATGCTCCCATTTACTTCAATTTATTTATTTATTAAAAATTTATTGTTTACACCCCAAAATAAGGCCAAACAAAAGGCAAACTTAATGCTAATAAGCATTCCCTTCCAGTCAACCCTGGGAGTAGTGAAAATTTGACGTAGGTGCAAAACAAAATCCAAAATTCATCAAATCCAAAAATATGTATAAGCTAAAATTAAGATTTAAATATCAAATAATTTTTTTAAATATCAAGAAAGTTTTTGATCCAGACGTACGCCACTTTCGACTTTGATAGCTATACTTTTATTTTGCTTCATATAATTATGTTTGTTTGGCTTACTTTTTCTGTTTCCCTTATATTATTTGGTATACATCGCTAGATATAATTTACTCACTAGCTTTTTTATGAAATTAACATTATATAGATGATATTAACTTTATAAATATTAATATATGCATCGTATGGTTTATAGGCCCGCGATCGTTCGCTGGAAGCGGCGGCATGTGGTGCTTTAGGACTTGCACGTCGTTTGCAGAGAAGGCTAGATGCTGCCCTAGGGCATCACACGCAGGTAATTTTACCGATCAGTTTCAACACATTCTTGCCTAAACCGATGACTGTGGACGGAGTTAAGCATACCACTTGTCGCGCTCAGGTTTTAGTATAAGGTAAAAGATTTACGTTATCTTTATCTTCCCCATCCAGGATTCTTTATTTCTTTATTATTGGATAAAAATAGTCACAGAAGACATGACGAAATCATAGATGACTTGTAGATAGTTATATAAACACCTATAACACATCCAAAAAATTAATACCATTTCGGAATATCTCGACGACGCCAATGAGTGGATTTTTAATACTGTTGATACTCACGTAGGCTAAAATAAGACTAATAGAGTTTCTTGCCGGTCTCTTCTCTACAGAAACTGCTTTCGGAACCGGTGGTACCTTTCGAACCTATATACATAATCATTGATGTAAAATTTGACGATTCATAAGAGCGCGTAAGCGTCTATTTGAATAAATATATTTTTGATTTTAATTCTCCTAATGTGTACAAAGTAAAAAAAAATCACTCTATATTTCATTGATATCAGATATCAACGTTAATCGAAGGCCACAGTTGAAAATTCTCGTTTCCACTCAGCGCTATCTAATTGCTACCAATCGCCATGCTCAGATCACTCCATCCGACTTATTTTGTATTTACGCGATTTCCACTTAACAATATATCTACTTTAATGGTGGTCACTTCGTGGAAACTTCACCAGACCACTATCACTCTAGAAGGGTTTACATGCAACATTAGTTTTATTTATTTATTTAACCTTTATGCACACACTAGTACAAAGACGGACTTAATGCCAGTGGCATTTTCTACCAGTCAACCTTAGGGTGGTGTAGAGAGAGTCAGGTAGGTGCATGGATATTATGTTTGTGTGGAACGAATAAAATATTATTCATAAACTAAATAAACATACATAAATATGTAATAAAAAAGTAACAGCCTATACATGTCCCACTGCTGGGCAAAGCCTCCGGCCTCCGGCCTATACAGAGGGTATCAGGGCATAGTCCACCACGCGGCGCCACTGCGGATTGGCGTACTAGACATATCTTCGAAAAATGTTTTTTCCAAGATATGACAAGGTTTTGGTTATTATTTCAAAAATATGCAGATTTCCCCACGATGTTTTCCTTCACCGCGGAGCACGTGATTATATATATATATATATATATATATATATATATATATATATATATATATATATAAAATATATATATTATATTATATATATTTATGTATATATATATATATTTCTTTTTTTTTATCGTGTGTTTATTTATTACGCTTATGGCAGGAGCTGACACTCAGACAAGAGGCGGGCGACGCAGCAGGGGAGGCGCGGGCGCATTCGCACCTCGGTGCAGTCCACATGGCCCTCGGGCATTATTCGCATGCCGCGCGCTGTTATAGGGTACGTGACCCTAAGTTAAAGATACTTATATCGCAGTATTTCAATCTTCAATCAGAGGGTTACTAGCTAGTTAAGTTCATATGATGGCAAGAGACCATTGGCACTTATGGTGATACGCCAAAAGTCAAGTCAAAATTTTATTACCTTGACAAATTAACAGAAAGCTAAACTAAGAATAGTTGAGCTATGTTAATAATCTTCCTAAGACCTTACAGCTTACATATATAAGTGATATTTTTAGATGATGAGTATGTAACTGTATACATTATTATATTACTCGATGTCATATAAGTTTGATAAAACCTGCAAGCAAAAAGAAAGTAAAAATTTGGACTATTGAATTATACACTAGCCCAAACTTTTATTTCATTTAAGTATTTTGTATAACTAATGTTACTACTTGATATATTTCAGTCCTTAGTCTATAAAAGCTTCATCGAACGCAGAACCGGTGGGCTAGCCAGAACCCACGGGTTTGAGTGGGGCCTCCTCAGTGGGCAGGGCCGCGCATAACTCATGCGTGCGTTAATTATGACTTTGATGCAAGTATTCCAAGCTACAGTCGTTTGTTTATAGTAAGTACTAAGTGACTTTAACTTTTTTTTTTATTAATGAAGGAACAGCTAGAAAGGGCACAAGAGTTACAGGACTGTGCCCTGGAGGCGCAAGCGTATGGCAACCTCGGCATTGCTAAGCTGAACATGGGGCATTACGAAGACGCAATAGGATATCTAGAACAGGTATAAAACTATCTATTTCAAAACTAAGTATAATATTATCTTTAAAATATAAATTTGTTTGAAAAATTCTAATCTCGATATTGTGATAGTTGAAAATAAACTTAATTTTAAGTTTTGAATTATCGGTTATTCAGTCTACGGTAAAAAGCATAGGGAAATAATTATGTATGAAACAACATAAATTCGGAGATACGTGAATGCCACTTCACTAATCCTGGAGAACTAAAGGGATGGTAGTGGATACATAAATATGCTGCTGTTCTTTACTTTTACAAATGTTCATTCAATCTAATTTTATAATATAAGCGAAATTTTTATATCTCCTTTAATGTTATGCTCTAAGCGCTATTGCGATACGAGCCATATACGAGTAGCTCTGTGTCCGGGCGCTTCTATTAAGCTCGAAGGACCACCTAATGTAACTTGGTCAAAAACGGTCTCTTTTTCAGCAACTCGCGATCCTCGAGCGGGTGAACACCCCCACGTGCCAGCTGGACAAAGCGCGCGCCCTGGGCTCGCTTGGCGACTGCTACGACGCCCTTGGCGACCCCGATGAGGCCATCAAATGCCATGAGCAACATCTCGCCGCCGCTCTCAAACTGGACAATGCGCGAGAGCAAGAAAGGGCTTACCGCGGTCTCGGTCTCAGCCATAAGTAAGCACAGCGGCTAGTTTCAACATGCTGCTATGTCCTCTGAACATGGCCTTTTCCCAGCAGTGGGATGCATAATGCATAGGGTGTGATTGTTGCCTCTTCATTTACTTATGTAAACGTACATTATTCATCCATATGACTCAAAGGGGTTGTGGGTTCGATTCCGACACGGGACAAGTATTTGTGTGACCAACAGTGTTCTGGGTGTTTATTCTCATGACCGCTTGAGGCAAAGGAGGCGGCCGCTCGTAAAACTAATAATAACTCTTTAATCCCATCTAGGTAGGGTCGGCACATCACGTGAATCATTCATGTGTTGTGCCGACCCTACCTAGGTGGGATAAGGGTCGAAGAAAGAAGACTTAAGTAAGTGTTCAACAGCCAAGTATGATCCACACATGTCATAATCAAAGATTCGCTTACCTTCAAGGTCAGTGGGCAATCTACAGCAAGCCCTGGTGTGCCTTGAGAAACGGCTGGTGGTATCCCACGAGCTGGGCGTACCCGAGGCTAAAGCCCAAGCATACGGGGAGCTGGGGGCCCTGCACATCGCCCTCAATAATTTGGAACAAGCAGTGTCCTGCTTGGAACATCAGAAGAATATTGCTAAGTGAGTGTGATTAATTTATAACAACTGATACAAAACCCTACACAAAACGCGAACTGTAAAAGCTCCCACATTCGTAACTTGAGATGACTCAGTAATACAATTTGCTAAGCCTGTTTTAGATTCCACAAGACAGCTGTAACACCTTGTAAAACATTGCACGCAATTAATATGAAAAAGTTCGCATGTTGCAACAACAAAAAATACATTGACATAGCATTATCAAAGTCTCGAAAAGCATTATTTTTGGCTACTGTGTGCTACTACACAGTACCTACGTTTTATTCCATCGATGAAGCAACAACGATGAAGCAACTAATACTAGATTATAATATTTATACACTTGCCAATAGATAAAACATTTCTAATTCCAGTCTAATGATTTAGGTAACCAGTCTTTCAAAGCCTTTAACAGTTTTTCAACCATTATGCAACATTTGCTCGTTTACCGCGTTTTTATAATGAGGATGCATATAATATTTACGTAAATCCCTCTTCATATGCACGTACTGCCCTGTCGGTTTTTATGGTAGCTGAAAGCTCGAGTCACTTCGGTATGTGATGCGATAACGTTACCACCGCGCAGAGAGCTGAACAACCAAATAATGGAAGCGGAGGCGTGGCACTCGCTGGGCGTGGCACAGCAGGCGCGCGGGGAGCACGCGGCAGCCGTCAAGCATCACCGCGCCGAGTTGGAGATCGCTCACCGCCTCGGCCTCACGCATCTTCAGGTATCACTGGTCATCTACATCACAACCAATGCTCATCAAATCCCACCCCGATTTAGTTTGGAATAAAGTGTTTACTTCTTTAGTACGAATTCGAATCAATGCTTCTTTTAGCTGAAAAGTTGGCAAGAAGTGAAGTGATTTATCCGATATTAAGTGATTATCGCCGCTCAAGAACATCCACAGCACCTGAGAGGATCTCCAGAGGAGCTTATTCCATGTCCCTGCCACCATAAAAATAGTAACGTCTTATTGCGTAATATCGTACATTAAAATACTGGGACTCATTCCCATAATGTTGGCCATAATGTCTTCTGATTACCACAATTTAAAGCAGAAATTTCATCCAGTAAAAAAAGTAAAAGTAGCAGCAACAAAGTATACATTAAAAAGCATAATAGAAGGGACGCAGTGGTAAAGACCGAAAGAAACAACAACTAGGGTTAGTTCGGTCTTTAAAAGACCAACAATGAAAAGGCTTCTACTAACTAGGGCGTTAATCGAAATCAAATGCATGACTGTTTAACATCAACTGGGATTGGAGTGACGACCTGCACAAATGTGCGGGAAGTCGATGGATGCAGTTGATTCAGAATAATGAGTCGTGACAGTCCGTGTAGAGGCCTATGTTCAGCAATGGACTCGAACTGACTGAATCAACGAAGATGATGTAACGAGCAATAGTGTACAATAACATAACGCCTCAGGCGCGAGCTTGCGGTGGCCTGGGAACAGCGCACGCGTCTATGGGCGCGCACGCAGAGGCAGCGCGCTGGCACGAGTCCCGCCTGCGTCATGCCACCGCTGCTGGTAAGTCGCCCTTATAACGCGTATAAATCTTCTAGTTGTAATATGCCGAGCTCTACACTTTCTCTTACGAAAGAAAATGGAAAACTACACTTTCTCTTACGAAAGAAAGTGACAAAAAACACGTGCTGCATTGGTTTACCGCTGTCCATGGCATCCCCAACGACTCTGGAGCTACAACACTATTGGCAACCGTCGAGAGGCTGATCTGATAAAACACAAAAATATAAATATTTCTACTTTACGCTGGTACATCGGTCGTCGGTATCAGGGGGTTGAATGGCTCTACCACATTAAAACATTATACCATGTGCATGTTTTTGTGGTTTGGATAGTTTTGTGGAGGATATGGTAGTCTACATCATTGTATAATTTATGTACGTACAAATATTGTGTAAAATTTATGATATCAGATGTGTTGTCTTGTAGAAAAATATACGACCTAATAGGGCCTCATTTACAGCTCAGGGTTACGAGAAGATTTTTTAACGTTTTAATAGCAGTAGAGTAGGATGAATGGTGCCGCTACCGTTGTAAACTAATTTTATATTTATTATAATCAATATGCTTTATACCGAAGACATAGGAAACTGAAAAAGTTTGTTTCGTAAACAATATAAAGTATTCAATTAGATAAATAATGAAAAATTTGGTAATAACATCCTTATATTTTATTTATCAGGAGATACTAGAGGCCGTGCAAACGCTTTAGCCGACTTAGGTAGATCGCATTTGGCTATGGGTGCTTGTGGCAGCGCGGTATCCTACCTCAGGCAGGCCTTGGCAGCCACCGAGGGGCTTTCTGATGCAGATGAGGAGGTAACCTCTTTTTTTTATTAATTGTGATACATGTACCAAACTCTTATTGCCTGGATTTGAATGAAATTTAAATATCAGATTAACTTCTCTTAGAAATGTAGTTTTAATCAATATAGCACAAAGAAGACGTAAATACGTCTTATTTTAATCGCATAGTTTGAGTTCCGTTTACGCGCATAAATAAAATCAATCAGTCTTCACTCATTGCAGAGGGAAATAAAGGAGACGATCGTTTTGTTCATTAACATTACGATCATGTATGACGCTGAACTTCCTATAAGCCTTTTCATAATAAATCATAATGATTTACCACTTTAAGATGACATTGGAAGGTCCCTGCAATCGGAAACGTACTTCACCAAGCCCTATATCATATAACTGTGCCTGGTAAAGATTTATATTGTCTACGGAACGCAAGCGCAAATATCAATCATGACAAAGATAAATAATTCTAGAAGCGCATACAGAATCCAACAAAGATAGAGATAGAGCCTAATATTTGATATGAAGTTATGAGGATTGGAATCAGCAAATGTCTTTCTTCTTGCAACAACAGGCTAAAGTACGCCATCGGCTCGGGTTCGCGCTGTGGGCTTCTGGGGAGCTGGACGAGGCCAAGGAGCAACTCCAAGCAGCCCTCACCGTCCTGGAGTCAGGCAACGACAAACACCGCGACAGGAAGGCCGCAGCCCTGTATACCTCCACGCAACACGCCTTGCAGCGGGTGCTCGTTGGTGCGTAATATTTTTAACTGACTTCAAAAATGGAGGAGGTTTTCAATTCGACTGTATTTTTTTTATGTTTGTTACCTCAGAACTTTCGACTGAGTGAACTATTCTTTTTCTTTTTTCTATTCTTTTTTCATATGAAAGCTGATGCTTCCCATGTGGTCCTATATTAGTTTCATTGGTATTGGATCTTGGGCTCCGGAGATACTCTTTATATCTAGAATACAAAGCGAGGTATTTGAAGTTGGTTTTGTTTTTCGTTAATACAAAATTGACTTGCTCTAATTCTAGTTCAATTCTGTTCTGTGGCTATTTTTCTAATTCACCTTATTGTTGTATCGTATTTGTTTGCTTTGTTTGGATTTGGTGGGATAAGAAGAAGCCACAATTTACTTTTTTCCAGGAATATTGAAAGAGTGTAAGTAATCCATTTTGAAAATACCTGATTGTGCGTTGAGTGCATCGTAATTTCTATCGTCAAATGACCTTAGTGTCCGGGCGCTCGCTTTCAATTCAATATACTCGAGCAATGTGAGTTCAACGACAAGGAAATGCTTTTACAGATTATCCGTTTCAAACTATTTGTGCAAGATATCTATTGCACCGATATAAATCCTTTACTAGTTGTGTTGTTAATTAATACCTATATAATACTATGAAAAGTTTCTGCAACTATGTAATTGGGATGTACATTTAATTTTAAACCAATTAAATTTATAAACTGTATGTAAAATACTTAAAAGCTTTTGTTTCTTTTTACTTTAACACAAATCGTCAACGTCAGTCGAAACTTGAATCTATCCTAGTATGGCGAATCGTTTTCATCGGTTTATCTTTTCACTAGAGTTGGGTCGTCACCCCGAAGCATTAGTAGTGGCAGAGAGAGGCCGCTGCCGCTCCCTCGACATCATCACAGAGAAGCAGCCAGGCACCCTGAACCAAGCCAATCTTGAACTGCACACAGCTCAGAGGTAACCACTGCATATAACACACAGAAATACTCGTATCGGAATCAGTGCTTTGAGTCAAATAATTGTAAATCTGACTGAGCTTTTCTGCTAAACTTACGGATTTATTACCGCAATCCGTTAAACAATTCCGATCTCTTACAGAAACCTAGCCGAGGACGCAAACAAAGACAGGAACGAGCTATGGAGTCCAACCAATGTGGAGCAAATTCTAGAAGTAGTGAACAAGCAAAAAGCGCCCGTGTTGTATTACAGCTTAGCGGCAGGAAAACTGTACGCTTGGCTTTTGCAGCCTCATAAAGGTTGGTAATATACAAGTGTATTTCAAAGAGAAGAATGAGTTTTTTTCATATTTTTCTGCAACTTCATTGTAGGGATGACTTATCATATTTAATTCATTAATACAGAATGACCAAAGCAAACATCTAAAATATATAAAGACGTCAAGTCTTATTCTGACTACCATGGCCCCAAATATGTATTTCATAATACATACAATTTCAAGAGTACGCAAGTAAGAGAGAAAGTAAATTGATGCTTTCATCATATAATAGGTTTATTGTCTCCATTGGCTTTTTCTCCTCTACAAATTTCCTTCCGATTTTCAGGTATTCTGCGATTCCATCAAGTATCTCTATTGGACCAAAATGAGGACAGCGACAATAGTCTTCCAGATATCAGTCCTGACGACCTGCAACCGAGTGGTGGTGAGTCTAAAGTGGACGCAAGTGTGGAGCTTGAGTCTAAGCAGTTTAATTTATAATAGTAGTAAATTTTCAAATACATTTATTATTTTAACGAGAAAATGTCAATCGCGCAAATGGTGTACTTGTGTGATCGAATTACGCAAGTTCTTTTAAAGCTATAATAATAAAGTTAATGATTTCATAAAAAAAAAAAACTTTTGTAAAATCTCTCACACTTAAATTAAAAGAAGTCAATAAAACTAATAATAAATAAAACTTTGAAACCGATAAGAACTCGTTACTAAAAACTGTCTCTACGCAGGCTCTTTGGGCAAACTGGAACGTTACATCGGCGAGTGGTCGGCGTGGCTTAAGACCGCGGAGAGACGAAACGAGGAAGACCAATGGGAGCCGGATGAAAGGCCCAACGCGGGCCTGGCGAGAATGGTGAGATTTCAACATATACTCGTAATTAAGCATCAAACAACTTTCTTGTCTAACTTTGATACAGGCCTTTAAAGAAGCTCTTTTAAAGATTGAAAGTCCTAATTTAACCCTTTATCGGACTAAATTAGGACTTTGAATCCCCGTGACCACACTCGCACATTCGTTGCACGAATGGGCAAGTCCGTCCGGATAAGTACCACGACCTCACACAGGACCGGCGTGAAGTGGAAGTGTCATTCTTCTGGGTTTCGTGAGGTAGCCGGGGCACTTTATAAAAGGTGGCAACGTGTTAAATTGTATCAAAAAATGGAGTTATGAGTCGAATTATGAATTTCATGGCACTGGAAATTTCAATGTATTCTAATCTAAGTAAAAGTTACAGTAGCTATCACATTACTGACTGGCTTAGTGTTTAATATAAATTAACAGTCGCTGCTTCATTTCGAGTAACAAGGTATTAAAAAAAAACTATTCTTCGCAGGTGACACGCAATCATCTACTGAACTCGTCTAATTACTCACTCAGCTCACTGTTTAGCGTGGGCTCGGTGGGTGGCTCAGTAGCAGGCTCGGTAGCCAGTTTACAAGGGTCTACTAGGTAAGCTCCAAATCATTCATGAAAAATATCGGTTTTCAACTTACATTTCAAATTAATTGTATAAAATTTAGAAAAGGAAAAACATTAATATTTTTTATCTTGTAACGTTATCGTCGAATTTATGATTCATGTATGTTCAATACAATTGATTACATTTTATTTTCACACGAATTCTTTTCCAGGAGTTTTTTTACTATACGCGAATAAGATTTCTTTTCTTTGAAAGTTTAGAATCAGAACCCGAATCTGAATCGGATTCAATTAATACCTATTGCTTTAATGCTTCAAAAATTTGATGACTCCGTGGCGCAGTTGCCAAGGTATTGGCTTCGGGGTCGGGGGCCGTGGGTTCGATCCCCACACGGGAGAACCGCTCGTGGAACCAACATATATAGTTGTTTCGTATCTGGGTGTTTGTCCATGTTGAATTTATGTTTGTAAAACGTCCTCACAGCACAGGATGTTATCCTAATAAAGTAAGGACAATGTTTATAAAGAAAAAAAAAAAAGTAAAAGTAAAAAAAAGAATTACGGATGTTGAAAGGAGGTATTCTCCGTTACTAGGTCAAGTGCACATGGTGCCCGTAAGAAGCAGCAGGCGTGGCAAGGCCCGCCTTGCCTCAACATGCTCTACCAGATGCTTATCGCGCCCTTCGAGGATCTCCTGCCTGCCTCTTGCAACAACAATCATGGTTTGAATTTATTTGTCTCTTAGCACTACATAGTATAAAACAAAGTCGTCTCGCTATCTGTCTGTCCAAATGTTTGCTTAGAAAACTACGCAACGGATCTTGATGCGGTCTTTTTACTAGATAGATTGATTGAAGAGGAAGATTTATATGTATATTACATTGCACCCGTGCGAAGCCGGGGCGGGTCGCTATTCTAATATATTGAGTTATAAGTTCTGGTGAGTCAAAAAGATGCTCATAGTTATGAAGCTCATTAAAACTGTAGGTTGTACATCAAAATGCGAGATCTCTTGCAACGTTATTGTACATAATTTCATCTATGTTCATATGTGTACAATATCAAATTTTCTAACACCGCAATACCCTTATATTAAAAATCCCTTTCTACCTTATTATTTTCCTTACTATACAATAAAATTCTCTGCGTCCAAAGTTATACAAATGTCAAATTATTAGGTACTAAACATTTGTTAGTTTAATTATCTGTCAAAATAACCTGTTAATTAACCGTTATTATCTTGTTGTAAGCAGTTGTTAACATTTATTTATTTATTTTATCTACAAATTACATATAAATCGCGTATAAACATTAACTTAAGAATTGCAATACGAAGATTGCGAGTACCTTCTTTCATCATGGAAAGAGTGGACTGATAGAGAATTCCATAAACATTACACAATACATGGATATCTAGCAGCATTAAAAGGGGCCTTAAATCTTAATTCAGGAGCGTTAGAAGGGTTGACTGCTAGAGAATGCCATTAAATCTTACACGTATAGATACCTAACAGCGTTGAAGTGGGCAGTAGATGCCAATTCAAGACCGTTCCAACCGTTACACGTATGGATACCTAACAGCCCGAAGTGGGCTGTTGATGCCAATCAGGAGTTTTCGCAGCGTCGCACGGCCGCCGAGGCTGCGGGGGCAGGCGCGAGCTCGTGGTGGGCGTGGAGGGGGCGCTGTACGCGTGCCCCTGGGGCGCCCTCAGGGCGGCCGGGGACGCAGAGCCCCTCTGCGAGCGGTACGCCCTGCTCGCCGCGCCCGCCCTGCGCCCCCTCCGCCACCCGCGCCCGCGCACGCGCCCCGACAGGGACCACGGTACGTCGTGGCCTTTTTACTTTTCGGACTGGTCTGCCAAGGGAAATAACGCGAACGAATAGACCGGCGCGAAGTGAGTTGTTATACTTCTGCATTTCGTCTCGTGAGTGAGGTAGCCGGGGCCCAATTTATCATAAGGTGGCAACGCATCTGCAGCCCCGCGGGTGTTGCTAATGTCTATGTTCGGCGGTTGACACTTACCATCAGGTGAATCGCCAGCTCGTTTGCCACCTCGTGGGTTTAGACGCATGAGCATTTATACAACGTAGGTTAAGCACATAAGGCATAAATCTTAAAGAAAAGACACCATCATCGTACTCGATAAGTATATACTCGTATTATATGATTGTTTTCCTTTAAATGTACTATTTTGTGCTCATTTAAATGCTGTATAATACGGGACTCATACATACTGTAATAAGTCAGTGGTGAACGTAACAGGAGCCACAAACTGACCCAGTGTGCGAACCCGAATAGTTGAGTTTTGATATATGAAATGTTGCGTTTAAGTATTATAGACAAAAATAAAGTGGTAGGCTATTAAACACACAGAACTATTCAATTGTCATGACTTTATTTCCGAACGGTAGGTTCGTCAACAACGAACGCTGCGGAGGCAGGAATGCGGTGCCTGGTTGTGGGCGGCCCACGTGTGGGCGGCTCTCGCTGGGCCAGCGTCCATGCGCAGCTCAAAGAGGCAGAACTCGTAGCGGATATGCTACGTGTTACCCCACTTACCGATTATCAAGTAAATACTTCGGAAATTTGTAAAAAGTTCGAAGAGAATAGTTTTATGGAATTTACTTTGCCGTTTTTTGTAATCAAATAATACTCACTTGGTAACAGTAAAGAAATAGTAGGTACTCATTTGGTGACTTGCGCTCAAACCTTCACCAGTAACAAAATTTTTAAACATGTTACCATGTTATATATAGAGATATGCTTTTAACCTATAGTGGTGAACCTAAATATATTAACTATATACATATGTTAGATGGAACAACGACATCATATGTCATCAATAGTACTTTTTGTGTTAAAAGACAAAACATTGCCTTCTTTATGATTTTATCTAAAAGATTAACAAAGTATCATGGGATTTTAGGCATCGAAAGAAGCAGTACTGGTACAACTGTCGCAAGCGGAATGCGTACACTTCGCTACTCACGTCTGCTGGAAAACACCTGGAATAGTCCTAAGCCCCGGTGAAGTTGTGAGTATCTTATATTCTAATAATAACTTAAGCATGTCGTGTATTGAACTCCCTATCGATTATTGTGCTTACTTGTTATCGTATACCTTTATGTTTGTATTACGATATGTATCCACATAACGTGTTACGGTGGTAATTTATGTTTGTTACCTACCAGGTCGATTCCCAGGCGAAACGTTTACTGAACACCAGCGTTGGCAGCGGAGTCGTTGACACCTCAATAGAAAACGAAGAGGAAAGTAAGTGCAATACGACTGATGTCAAGTTATTCATTGTCACCTTAACGTCAGCATACAAATTTGGTCTGAAATTAATTCTGAAGAGACAACACGAAGATGCGATAACTGAATTCATCCGCATGCAGTATTTTTTCCGCCAATAATTATTTAATCATATTCATATGATGATTAAACTCGGTAGTGCAGTGGATTAGCTATTAGCTTCAGGGGACGACGGGACTCGTGGAATCGATTTCCACGCTGAAAAAGTATTTGTGTGTATCACAGATAGTTGTTTCGTATCTAGGTTTCTTCCCACGGAAGTTCTTCAGTTGTTAAAAAAAACCTATCCAATACGACTAACCACAAACGATCTCACGTGTGTACCTAAGATAAGTGTAAAGTGACGATGATAGAGTTCACATGATAAGTGTACTTGAAAGAAACCTTGCATCGCACGCATCGCATACAAATTTACAGATAATAATTTGCATCACACGCAACTTATTGCAGATTCCGAGATGCCACCCAGCAACGAGGAACTGCCACCCACTGCAGAGTTCATGTTGACTGCATCCGAAATCATGAATATGAAAATCACCGCGAGATTGGTAAGCAATCAATAACAAATTAAAAAAAAAAAACCGGTTCCGTACAAACTTAATTTTTTTTAAGTAAGCAAACTTTAAATCTTATTTGAACTGAACCACCTGTTAAAATACAGAACTTTTTCTTGCGGGAACCACAATGTCGTAGACATGTCATAATGATTTGCATATTCATTAAAACATAATCGATAACAGCCTCGTCTAGTAATTTGTTAGTTATCTTCTTATCCTTTAAACGAGCAATTCTTGTATATGTATATATATATATATATATATAATCGGAATCTCTGAAACGGCTCCAGCGATTTTCATGAAATTTAGTATGTGCGTAGATTCGGGGGCGAAAAATCGATCTAGCTAGGTTTCATTTTTAGAAAATGTCCTTTTATCCCTGTTTTCAGGGAATAAAAAATATCATTCGAATATCACGGTAAATTTCGCCGCAAGAGAAAATGTTATAATAGCTCGGTCGGTAATCGGGCGGCCCCAAAACAGACGGCCGTGGTTCGTGTCACGATCATTTACACACTCTTTTTTTTTTTACTTTTTTTTCGATTCCAGATCATTGCTTTCTTTATTTTTAATGTTTTTGTCGATTTGATATTTAGTTACTTTTTCCCTTTTTTTTAAGTTGTTTCTTTTGTGAAAAACACCACTTCATATTTTCCTATTATTACGTCGTAAGATCGAAGAATATTACGCATATTTCATTACTCAGTAATTTGTATCTAAATGTAATTTCCAAAACACACGATTTACCAAAAAAAAAAAAACAAACCGAGCAAAGCTCCGGGTCCTCCGGGTTGTAGTACCCGGAGGACCGAGCTTTGTTCCGAGCTTCTTAAATGCTCTTAAATGTCGTAGTCATCAAACGTAGAAAAAAGTATGAAAGTTTTTCGCCGCTGTAGGAATCGAACCCACGTCTTCGAGATTCGCACCGAGTCGCTAAACACTAAGCTAAATGGCTGGTTGCCACGGCGAAAGTAACAATTTTTAATGTTTCATATTAAGTGCATAGATTAGCACTATACAAAAAAAATATAAATCACAGTCATAACATATTTTTAGTGTATAACCGGTGGTAGCTTACTTACGAACTTATGCATAAATTATTATGTAAAATTCGAAGTCTCACACGAATGCGTAGGCGTCTAATTGAATAAAGATATTTTGATACGTTTTTTGAACAAATCAATAAACGTTTGTGAAACTAACAGGTGGTGATATCTTGCGCGCCGTCGAGCGCGGCGCTCACCGAGACGGCGGAGGGGGAGGCGGCGGTGGCGGCGGCGGGAGGGGGGGTGTCGCGGCTCTGCAGGGCTCTGCTGGCGGCCGGAGCCCACGCGGTGCTGCTGGCCCTATGGCCGGCGCCCCAAGACACGGCCACCAAGATACTGTACCGCGCGCTATACTCCGCCCTACTGCAAGGCAGCCGCGTCGCCAAGTGAGTACCGAAAGGAAAATAGTAACAACCTATATGTCCCGCTGCTGAGCAAAGCCTCTATACAGGGCACGATTTTACCAGCTCTTTGTTGTACTCAGGTTTTGCCTATACAACTAGTAATTTGTTTTACAGTGATCAAATATTGGAGAACCAAATGATATCAAAATTAACATCACTAACATCAAAGAAAAAACACATGACATCAGAACGTTAACATTTTCACTATCCAAAATTTTCCGACGGGCTTATAAAAGTTTTCAATAAATAAAAACTCGCAAAAAAGTCATTCACACACCCTCGTAAAAAACGGCCAAAAACCGTTCACAACACGATTCACATTTTGTGCCGTCCGACGAATCATTTGTACAGAAACTCATGTGTCGATCTCATCAGGGTTATCTGACCACATCATCCCCTGATGAGATAAGCGCAGGAGGATGATAACGACTCATTAGCACAGAAGCTCGCGCGCCTATGCCAGTCACATCCCCTCTGAGTTGAGTAACGGGTGAGCGTTGCGCAGGGCGCTGGGCGACGCGATGCAGACGGTGCGCCACACGAAGCACTTCGCACACCCGGCCCACTGGGCGGGGCTGGCGCTGCTCGGCGCCAACGTGCGCCTCAGCAACAAGGTGGCGCTCATGGGGCAGGCGCTCTGCGAGCTGCTCGCCGCGCCCGACAAGTGCCGGTAACCTATCTGCCTGCGTCCCATCATCTTGCATGTTCTAACCGAATTCAAGGTCAAAATTTCTTCATTCAATAAAGGCTTTTTTTAGACTCTTATTGTACGTTAAAAAAGTGAAGCGGTGGTAGTTTACCACCGGTTCACTAGAAATGTCCTGAGAAGAACCTGAAAAAGAATGTCGACAGTAGAAAAGTTTTTCCAATGGATTAGAAAATCATTTGATACAGAACTTAATGCTCAATTAAAAAATTCTCAATTTATGTTTTAAAGATTATCTTATAAAATTATATATTAGTATTGTTGATGGTATGAGTATTTCCGTTCATTCTTGTTTTGAGTTATGTTCTGAGTTGCATTCGATAAAATATTTTGTTTGTAAAATTATTTTGGTAAAATAAAACTTATCTTATTCGTTGTATTTAATTATTCTTCTTTTATAGGGACGCACTTCGAGTCTGCCTGCACTTGGTAGAGAAATCTCTACAAAGGATAGTGAGGGGGCAGAAAAACGCTATGTACACGACACAGAAGAGCATCGAGAATAAAGCCGGACCTGCCACTGGTTGGAGGGAACTTTTGATGAGCGTCGGTTTCAGGTGCCCTAATCGATATAATTTTTTACTGTGACATAAAACTATTTTTTTATCTTAGTTTACAATAAATGAAAGTAAAATATATAGTGTTGATTTGCGACGTCACATTTAACCGTAAGCACTTTCAGGTTCGAACCAGCGGCAAATGGAATACCGTCAAGTGTTTTCTTCCCTCAGAGCGACCCTGAAGAACGATTGACTCAGTGCTCAGCCAGTTTACAAGCCCTATTAGGTAACGGCACGCTCTAAGTCTTCTTAAAACCAATGATTAATTTTACCATTTATTCGTTTATTTAAATGAGAGATTAAATACGTATACACTCTTACTTTAAATCGTAGAGCAGACGGATATACTAATCACTGTACCTGTTTATTAATACGAAAACTCTCGACGTATATAAATACTTTAAAAGTAACTTTTTTAGGATTAAGAAACAGCATTTCGTTTTTCTTAACCTTTATTAAGGCATTCACTTGCAATTCACATTTCAAGCCGTATCACGCACGGCTCAGTGTCCGAGCGCTCCCCTTTAATTCAATATACTCGAGCGACCTAAGTTCGGTGCCAGCACCAATGAAATTGTTAATTTTAAGTGCTGACTTTATCATGTGCTCAATGGTGAAGGAAAACCTGCATATTTTCGAAATAATAACAAAAATAAACATTTCGAAGATATGTGAAGTTTGCCAATCCGCATTTGGGCCGCATGGTGGACTATGCCCTGATATCCTATGTAAAAGAGGAGGCCTTTGCCTTGCAGTGGGATATATATAGGTTGTTACTTTACTTTTTTTTTCACATTTCAAGGGCTGACACCAACAACTCTCCAAGCGTTGTCCAAACTCATATCCAACGGTGACGTGGCGGATGAAATCATCGGAGTCATCCGCTCGGTCATTTCCCAATTCTCCGTCAAAAATTCTGAGGGCGACACCATCGAGGTTGCCGTGAACGTCAGGTTGGTATCCAGCACTTTTGATTAATAGCAGGTGCCCTAAGCCCAGCAAATAGAAAGATTTAGATATTAACATTAATAATATACATTATTTTATATTTCGCCAAAAACGTCATCAAACAACCATTATTCTTCATAGATATCCAAGACATGTTATATATATGTTCAGCAGTGAACATGATGATGATGATCCAAGACAACAAATATTAAATGCCTCACACAGTTAACATGCTAATTTCAAAAACTATACATTTTTAGTTTCCTTTAATTATTTGAAGTGTGTTTTTCTTTAATTATAACGGCTCATCAATTGCCTTTAATTTCTAACTATATTATATTATTATAAACAACTTCACTGTAGACTTTGGCGGGTAAACGGTTGCCATGAACTGCTGGCGTCGTTGGGCTTCGATCTTGCAGAAGTGGGACAGGATGAGGTCACCCTTCGTACCGGCAAGACCGCCAACAGACGTCACATACAGTTCGTCTTGCAAGCACTACTCGCACTGTTTGGTGAGTGAATGTTCGACTAAATCACCATTGCATGCAACCATTTTGTAGATTATTTTTTTTTTACTCTCAACTTTGAAAAAAATATAAGCATCCATCACTGGTTCCAAGAAGAATTTATAAATGCTTGCAACATTATGAAGAATACTCTCTAAACTCCGTGTTTGGGTTTTCAAAGATCTTGTAACATCCAAAATAATTTAATTTAACAATGAATAGTATTTTATCTACTATAAGAAAACATCATTGGCAATTTCACGCTTATTGCTCCCTCATTTATTTCCACCAGACACTCAAGAAGCTCCTCGAAGTCTAAGTTTGGAGTCGAGCTCGAGCGTCGAGTCATTGGCCTCTATCGACGATGGCGATTTGGAGCCCCACTCCGACGGAGAACCACCGCCGCGACAACATCGCCGTGAGTACAAGTTCGAAGCAGTAATCACAACAATTCAGATATAATACTCGATGATATCGACATTTGGAAATACAATCGGCTAACTACGGTTTTATAGAGCGTTATCTCTGTCACACACTACCTATGTGACGTGTGTGAGTCGTTGTATAAGTGTGCGACAAAAGTAACGCTCTACGAAGCCGAAGCTAGTCAAATATCTCTTACCAAAGGACGATGTGCAATATCTATCACCGAATACTGTACCATCTTTACTGTCATAGTTAGTCACGTCATGGTTTCTCCGTCTTACAGAAGACGGTAGAGCTTATTCTGTTCAGTGTGATAAGGTTTGCAACGCAACTGAAATCTTAACGCTTTGTGTCTGTCGGTGGGCGTTGGTAATCGCTAAAGATCAAGTGCCGCCCGTTCGTTTATCCCAAAAGTACATTACAAATGAAATATTTTCTTTCAACATTAACCCCACTGCAGATACCCACGGTAGGAGAAGATTATTCTTTAATTCAACATGTTTCACTTTTGATAATTGCGTATTGACCCTGCCCACCCACACCCCATCGATTGGGAGAACGTATCATTCAATTGCAGAACTCAATGTATAATTCAATTACAGAAGAGAGCGTGTCGTCGGTACCGCCTCCGCCGTTGCCTTTGGGATCTTGCGGCGGCGCCTTCACCATGTACGTGCGTGGCACCACGTCCAATACAGAGGTCGGTCGCGGCGAACCGGATGGTAGAACCGCTCCACCGCCGGCCCCTCCCCCGCCCCGATATCGAGGAGAGAGTGACGCAGCATTCACCCCCTCGCCCCCCGCCGCCCCACCCTCCACCTCGACCGCACCTCCGAGGGACGTGTCGCTCGCATTGGCACATCAAACCAAGATCAGGACGCTTTACACTAGACGGCCGCCGTCTACTGACGATTCCGACTGGGAGAGCTCCGGCCACGACACCGTACTACGTAGACGCCCCGAACACTCGCATACGAGGTATCTTGACGCCTTCTACGACCTAGCGTCAGCGCAGCCCAGGCGAACCGAAGAAGAGAAGGTGGACCAGTCTATTAACCAACCATCGACTTCGAAGAGAGTCTCCCGACCGAAGATGGGCGCGAGCAGCAGAGACTCCATGGCACAAGTTCGACACATGAGCGGGGAGCTAACTCCGACGATTTCGGAAGTATATCATGAGAGGAACATCGGCTTAGGCCTTGCTCCGCCATTGGCCGAACTGTTGTTGGCCGAGGAATCCAAGACTGAAATGAGGGCGGCCAGCTCTAGTGAAAATCTACTGTTGCAGAATTTGGAGAAACTTGGCCTTTTGGGTGACACGAGCGAAAACGAAGAACGGTGGTGCAGCAATACCACATCGAGGCCTTGGCTCTCCGCTCCCCCCTTAGAAACTGATGTTCAGGGATCGGATCTGACCACGGCGGAAATAATCGAGCGTCAGGCGAAATTTAAAAAAGACGTGGAACCCAAACGGAAGGAGGAGAACGCATACGAGTTGAAGCTGAAAGAAGAGACACCTGGGCCGAGTGGAATAGAGAAAAGATCGGTGTCCCCGTTCTCGGAACTCTCGCGTAGAGATGAGGGGGACGGCAGAAGTATTGCCGACTCACATTCTTCGTACAAGGCGCTCGTCCTGAACCCCCGTGCCCCGTTTCTACCCGAGGAAGGTGAGAGTGGAATAACCGCGGCCAACGAGGGAGGAAAAACCCACCCCAGGGCTCGGAGGCCACCAGTTCCGCGTACCAGACCAGCTTACACCACCCTCGACTTTCCACCGAACAAATGATTAACGTTGAACTACTTGTCTATTAAAAATATAGGAAATTTTTGAATTGATTTTATTTGGCAAGTACGAACACAAAATGTGTGAATTTCTTAGTGAACTGACAAGTTTTCAAAAAATATAAGGTTTGAAACGGACTGTAGATTGGAGTGTTATAAAAGCCTCGGTGTCACTGGTTCCATTGAAATGGTTTCGGGAGAAATTGAGTAGGTACTTCCTTTAGTTTCAGTGAATTAGTGTTTGATTGTGTTTTGTGATTTATGAATTAGAGTTGCACTTTTCCGGCAGTTTTTAGAAGCTATAATATTGTGTTTACATGGTTGCAGCAAGTATTTTTATGTTTGTGACACTAATACGTTGTATAAAGGTATTCAATAGACTAGGGTGTTTAAAGGTTCTTTATGGCGGCTTTATTTATATGCTCACTCAATATGTATAAAATAGCTTCAATTGTAGATAAGTATTAATTTAATAAATTATAATTGACCTAAACAAATGCAAATTCGTTAGCAATTACTATAAACGCTTCTAGATATGTTTTAATATTAACGTGTATTATTATTATAAATGTTATAATTTATTTCCTACTGTATTATAAATATATTGTTGTAATAACAACTGAATGTCTAAACTTTAACGAGATTTACTCTTGCCATAGTGAGTATTTTATTATAATAGCCTGTAAATTATCCTAATAAATGCAATATGATTTTTTACTTCTTTACTCTTATAAAATAACACATATTTATTTTATGAAATGACCCTCGTTCAGACATCAATTTCAAAATATTTATAGAAATTGCTAGTCGAAATCTAAGAAGATTTTTTCTGCCTGGAATTAATACCGACTATTGCCAGGATCTGCCTTCCTACTCATACTCTCCCATTTTACCCGATCTTCAGCATTCTCAGGGGTCAGTCCATTGGCTCTCATGTCCTCTTTCACGACATCCAGCCATCGCTTTCTTGGGCATCCAGGCGGTCTAGCTCCTGGGACAGGTTTATGAAGGCATATCGTTCCGACATAGTTCTGCACGGCGTGCGACGTGGCCATACCATCTCAGACGCCGCTCTTCGAGCTTATCCGCTACATCACGGACCCCGAGACAGCCTCGAATGTGTTTCGTATGCGGTCAGCCCGAGTGACGCCGCACATCCATCTTAGCATATTCATCTCTATGACGGAGTGAGACGGCTCTTGAGTGTGCCGAGATAGCGCTGGCCAGCACTCACTACCATACAGAGGTACAGGTCGGACGATACTCTTGTATACCTGTCCCTTCAGCTGGGCGGCATCCTGCGGTCGCAGACCACACCTGTGACCACTCGCCACTTAACCTAAGCAGCGCGTATCCGGGCTTGGACATCATATTGGACATCTTAAATTGCTAGTCGAAATCATTAAATATATAACTTACTTGTATAATTTACTCTAGTTACATTTATTGTTTTACCAGGATTTTAAGAGTAAACAAAATGATGACCCTGATCTCAATTACGATGTCTCAAAAAAGTGATTATCTTATATTAAAAGTTAATTCTTTTCGGAAATTTGATTCTATCACACACTTCTTCAAAGATGGGATCATATGGAATAAATGTTAATAGACACACGGTGCTACACACTTGTTTGCTATATTTTTACATATCTGTTGGTTCGCGTAAGGAAAATAAGTTTACTAGTTTGTATAAAGAAAAGATTCAATGTGGGAAAAATCTTTTAAAAAAATAATATACTGTGTAATGTAAGGCCACGCAACAGCATCGACTGTCCGGGTAAGTACCACGTCCTAACAGAAGAATGGCGTGAATTGGAAGTGACATACTTCTACGTATCGTCTTGTGAGTGAGGTAGCCGGGGCCTACTTTGTTAAAAGGTGGCAACGAATCTGCAACCCTACGGGTGTTGCAAATGTCCATGGGCAGCGGTTAACACTTAACGTCAGGTGAGCCGCCAACTCACTTGCCACCTTCTCACATAAAAAAGTTATCCCTGTCATTGATATTTATTACTTGTTACAATAGACATCTCAATATAATTGGGGTTGACGTATCTTTGTAGACAAAAACCTCTTAGAAATTGAAGATAATAAAAAAAATCTCTATAATATAAATCGTGTGTGTGATACGCATATAAACCATTCTAATTAGCTTCAAAATCTAAGTTGCCGGTTTGATTTCTAATGTCTTATCCCGTTAAATTTTCTATCTTCTTGAAAACACATTGCCATTAATTAAAATATAGACAACAGTGGCTATCTCTGCCTAGCTCTTTGCTTTGAGGACATGCTTGTGAGACATTAAAATGCTTATAGTTTCTTTTTATCTCAATTAGTTTGTTTAATGAATGCAATCTTTTTCTGAACAAGATGCGATGTATGGTCGACTACTATTAAAAGAATTTCCGTTCCAATAAGCTTTCAACGACAAATTATGACGTTCACAGTTCAAAGCCACGTTTTTTTCCTAAGGCCCTCCGCTGGTCGAGGGTGATTTAAATGGTTCATAAAAATCTGCAGACTTTTGTAATGAGCGTTTATAAACTGAAATTAAATTAATTATAAACTGAAATTCCAATATTAAGTGAGCATACTAATATACATAAAACCATACTATTGTTAGGAAGTTTAATAATAATTTTAGTTACCCTTATATACATCTTATATAATAATAATAGTAGTCAATAATGGATCAAGTTTTCTTAACTAATTCATGCTGAATTTAGTTCGTAGGTCATGTAATGTTTCAATTTTCAGTTATATATTATACATAAAAACGTTCCTGTTGAATCACTATCTAGTAAAAAACGCATCAAGATCCATTGTGTATGTTTAAAGATCTAAGCATAGATAGGGAAAGACAGACAGCGGGACGACTTCGTTTTATACTATGTAGTGATTACTGATAAGCATATCGAATTTTAAAATGGAGGAATTATTTGTTAGAAAACAGTTAAGTTTCGCGCCTCGTTCTCAGTCTCTAACAAAACAAAACTTCAAGCCGCAATATGAGTCTCCTTTTTAGTTTTGAACAAATCACCAAGCATACATACGTATCCCGTCGCCCGAACCCTTTTCTTACTACTTAGAAACCCAAGCAACCCTTATTTTAGATTTATAAAAAGAAGAAATACACACATCTATCAAAATTAAAAGATCTCCGATTGATTTTAAATTTTCACGTAGCTTTGAATGCTCTGTAACAATTGCAACATTTATTGACACGGGACGGACTTTTACATGTTTGTTTAATTTCAATAGACTCGCAAATCATCCTCGGTAAGCATCGGTGTCCTTTTTCAAGGATCTATGGTCTATTTTGTTTCATCACAGCTATAATATGTACGTTCCTTCAAGCAAGGATTTATGTTTTCGAATTTCAATTTAAAATAAACATTAAAAACCCGAAAAAAACAGTTTCAATTAATAACATAACTTTTGCGTTAATGTAATAAATTATTATCCTTGCTATTTATATTTATAACCGTGCTGTAAAAAATCTACGATCTTTAAAACCAATAGTAAAACGGAAAACCAATGCCACATCGACATGACATAAATAAGTCTCAAAAATGCGATCGGAGTATGCGGAAATTGCAGAAAAAAACAAAAAAAAAACGTATCAACGTCTCGCAGAACAAAGACGGTGGCGTTGAACTTTAAATTCACGCTCAGTTTTTACGCTCGAAAATCGCGACGAATCGCTTACTTTGCCTTTTATAGCCACTAGATATATATTGTATCAAGGCGAATCGATAAAGTAAAGCCTTAGACCTCGATCTTCAACCGCTTCATGGCTACATTGAAAGTCAATATACACATTTAGACTTGCGTGTGTCTACACACCATTCAAATATTTTGCACATAACACACTTTTGCAAACTCGCAGCAGTAGCATCTCTCTATTTTCTTTGGTTAGCAACTGTAAAGTTTTACCAAGTCCTTACGATTAAAAATAGTGAACACACAATAATACAAACGAAATACGTTAGTGATAGCTATTACCCACACGTAACAGACTTTACCAAGCCTAGACTAGTCATATTGTCTGGTCAGCGACACAGTGATTTTGTTAAAAGAACAAAAGCAAACGTTGGGGCATGCTACTGGATTTCGGACCCGTATTTTTAATTATTTCTATTAAAGATATCACAAAAATAATAATAAATAAAATTAATAATAGATCATATTTTTTATTCACTCAAATTCATACACATAAACGAGAAGAACAAGAAAATAAAGTGTAAAAAGTTATATGGAACTGCTTAAGGCGTAACCTGATTTATCTTCAAAATTAGTACCAATGAGACGTCATCGACCTTAACATGGCGAATATCTCAACTGGCGTTGGTTTGTCTAATTTTTTGCCCAGATGCCACATTAGTCGAACTCCGTAATGCCCATAGCGTTATAAGATAGCATTGTTGGCGATACAGATCTTGTGAGAATTTCACTTATGTTATCACACAACCGTATACCCAGACCGAAATGCCTATTTGTAATTATATGTCATCCATACGTTGCAGTAAAGTAGGATTCTGTGCATACAATGAGTGTACCGTAAGCACGACAAATTTAAGCAGGAAGACAGGTTGACGGGTCACCTACCAGAAAAATAAAATTACCTAAGTAAAATATCACCATTTTTATTTTTTTTATAATGTTGTTATTATTTTATATAAGGCCTTTTTCAGATATTCCAAACAATTTAATTATTCCCTTTATCGCTCAGTATGTGGTAAACGAGCAGTTAAAATTTGCAATAATATATTTCTTTACGGCAACCTGTGGAGAAGACCCATTATCAGCAACAGAAAGCTGTAATGATGATGATTTCGGGTTCTGAACTTAAGTTAAAAGCCAGTGCCCGGACACTAAGCTATCACGACGCCACCGTTGCGTAACATTTTATGTTACATAATATATCTAAACTGGTACGGCTACATAAAAATATACAGTGCAAAACATCTAAAAAACAGGCACTAGTAGCTTGGTTATGTT